TCCCTTCCCTGTGACAAAGGATGTAGGTTTAGATTCGACACTGATGTGAACAAGATCAGTGACCAGTACTACGAAGATGAAGAGCTCTATGTCTTGGCGAGTGCTTCCCTTACTGTCTAAATGTGTGCATTCAGCTCCCGTAAACCCGCACTGTCCTCTGAGATTGTGTGTCTATCCATCTTATCTGTCAACCTATCTGAAAACTAGCAGCAAAATGTCAGTTGGTCAGCCTCACAGCCTTTTCATACATCTGTGTACAAATAGCTGTGTGGGTAAAACAGAGAATACAAACATCTGGAAATGGGGAGAACCGTGCAGTCAACTCGCAGCGGAATGTGGCGGGGGGTCCAGACATCAGTGGGAATTGGTGGTGAGTGAGATGGGGGTTTTATGAAGATGAGGGTCTCCTGATGAGGAGTGTGGAGTTCACCGTGAGCTTCTGCTGTGCAACGGAGGGAGGGAGTGTTGGGATCGTAGCATTGCATGTAGCGAGCGTGTTTGGTTTTTTTTTGTGCATGTCGAAGATCCCCGACGTTTGGGTTCCAAGCTGAAATGACTCATTCAGGTTCAGAGCAACGTCCGCTGAAGGGTCCTGTACATGTTCACCCTGCTGTTCTGTCGCCTATTTATATTCCGTGTAAATAATGCAGGAATGTGTCACAACACACCCATGTAAAGCAATTCAGGGTGACTCTTGTGAAAGGCGCTGTATAATAAATTAATTGAATCCATTAGCTAATTCTCAGTGGCATAAGCATGCAACGTCAACCGTGTGAGCAATTAAACAAATGTTTATAGATGTGACTGCAAGCATAATTGCATTTTGAAGTATAAAGCAATTAATTTAGTTTAAGATGCTTTAAGTCATATGCTGTATTGGTCAGTCGGGTTAACAGTGAAAAGGGTGGGGGCTTGCCTAGACTTGAGCTGATCTTTTACAGATAAGAACCCTACACCTTCATCAAGGATAAAGTTCCAATCCAGGAGGACACCCTGTACATGTGCGCCTCCTGCAGTTCAGGGAGGGGCATCACTCCTAGTATGAGGAATGCTTTTTTAAACTTTTTCTAGTTTAAAAACCAGATGTGAGGGCAGATATCTTGTTCATGATGTTAGCCTCCTGTGCTTTCTGAGAGAGGTTCCAGACTCACTGCTGCCCCCTACTGCAGCGGATGATTTCTCAGCGGGTGAACTGCACCCCAACTTGGTCCTGTACCCTTGTAAAGGAGGACCTACTGTGCTCTACTGCGCAGGATTTGCTCATCCTCCATATGCCACCATGAAGTGTATTCTGGCTTCATTGTTCTTTTTTTCTGGTTTATCATAATAAAATCCTGGTTATTTCCAACCCTGGCGCACATGATGAGTTTCTGATCAGTTGCTAAGCAGTGAGGATCGGGGGAGAAGGCCTTGTCCCTTTCAGGAGGGTGTAAGGAGTTCCTCCTTTTGTGACTCTTGTGGGTGGGTGGGGGGGGGGGGGGGGCTGCTCTGAAGGCTAGATCAGCCGCAGATGTGGAAAGGAGAGCAGAGCTGCAGCCCCCGTCCATGTGGAAACGATTGTCCAGCCTGATTTTCCTTGTGGTTAGAACAGTGCACATGGACAGAGTGGAGAACATGCACTGTCCAAACAGGAGAATCAGTCCCATAGTTCTTAGTGCTCTGGGAGCATTCTTCATCCAGACTGGGCACGGAGAGGGAGAGAGTGTGTTTCTGAGGTTTCAAACATGTATTTTTACGTGGCAAAGTGCCTGGAGATCTGGGCACGTATCCGACACTGTACAAAGGCTCTAGATAACCGTTGTTTCAGCTGCAAAGATTTATGGGGATGAAGTTGTTTTTTTTCCTCCCCCAGCACAATCTGGCCTTTATAAATATGCATTTTAATATTTAGAACCGCACAAAGAGAGGATTCGTTATTGTGACAAAAATCATCATGCCAAGCCAGGAGGTTACGCTCCAAGAAAGCGCACTGAACTTCGTCTCTCTGAGCTACTTTGAAGCACGCAGACTTTGTCCGTCCCACAATGCATTTGGGTAAAACTCTCGCTCTGTGGAGGAGCTGTCGGGTGAATTAGTTTGTGGGTGTTTACCAGACTGGATGGTGGTTTTTCTGCCCAGTGCCCACATCATGGAGTCAAAGTGAACAGATTCATCTCCATCTCGCCTCCCTTCTTATTTCCATCTTTAGTTAAACTTGATTTCTTCACATGTTATTTCTTTTAGATGTTCATCAGAGGCCCAGGTGAAATAGTGAGGGAATCTCCCTTCAGGTAGCACTACACTCATACCTAGAGAGAGAGAGAGAGAGATATGTATATGTATATGTGTATGAATAATACATAAATAATGCATTGCACGATTGGCCATTTCCCTTAGTGGAGGACCAGGGATTTCATTGGCTCATCCACCACTTAGAACCTTACTAAGTCAGCGCTGAGTCTCCTGATTGGCACTACAATGCTGATGTGTCGCTGCCAACATTGTGTGACGTGGTTGCTGCACATCTTAAGAAGTAATGTAACCGACGACAGCTTCGCTACAGATTTGTGCCGCTCAGAGGCTATTCATAGCTCAGTCTTAATTATTGAAGAATGTATCTTTTTTTTTTTTTTTTTTTTTTTTTTGAAAAGTGACCAGGAGTTTATCACGTTTCCGGCTAGGACCTTTAACGTAACATTTTCTGCGCTGTTAACTTCCAGAGTGGCGCCAACAGTCTGTGATCTGAGGGTGGGGTTATACAGTGGTACCTCCCACAGGGGTGTGGTCTCACTGGGTGGCTCCATGAGGTGTACACAGGCATGCAGTGGAGGTTTAATGTAACGCTCATTACTGGAGGGGTGTTCCGGAGCAGTGATGTGGAAGATAAGGACCTAGATCCTTAATCCCTGTAGACCAGAGATAATCAGGGACGATATCTTTCCCAAGGTCTTCTATGGCCCGCTGTACAGTGACGGAACGGTCCCGTTATACGGAAAGATCTGGCATTTCTGTCAGAACACGCACGCAGTAGACGCAGAAGTGATGCCAAGAAAGTCAGTTTCAGATGATTTATTTTCTGCAAAATTCAGCATTTTTCCGTTGAAATGTGCAGCTGCAGTGCACTTCATTTTATTATTTTTTTTTCTCCATGTCCTGGCAACTGGTTTTAAGTGGTAAAAATGAAAACTGAATGTTCGTGGTTTACCGTTAGAAACCACTACTGGAACTCATCTACCACGTCGTTAAACAGTTGCTTTGCGCAGGATTACTTACAGAGCCATTTCTGTGGCTCGAGATTTAAGGGTACGACTGTTCTGAAACCTGCAGAATCGCGGGATCCTTAACTGTCACGCCACCCGGTGACCAGATTCAGTTTAGGTAGTCTAAGGAGAGGACAGTGTTTCTGCTCCCACTGACACATCGTGGTGGGTTGTTTATTTCCCAGAAGCCCTTGGGACTTTTTTGCTTTGCCCTTGTCTTTTTCATCCCAGTGCTTTTGGCTACCTTTCCCCAGCATTAGTATTGATGCTTGTCAACAAAGTCAAGGAAAACAAACTTGGAGACAGACGAGGGTAATTACCATTCACATGTCCTAATGAGCTCTTTTCATCTGCATTCCTAAGCACTATCTTGGGTTTAAAGGGACGGTCCAGTACAAAAGTTCACTCCCCGAGCTGCTTCACAGGGTAAGTGTTCCCTGACTCGCACATCTCTGCAGATCAAAAAATGAAGCTTAGGAATGCAGGCTGAATCGCCAAGGGACCGTCACCAAAGAGCAGCACTAGTAGCAAGAGAGGGGTCAATAAAAACGTCCCATAAAGCTGTCAGGGTGGCCGTGTACATAAATGTGGAAAATCCATATGACAAGCTCCCGTCTTGTAAGGGTGAATCAGACTCTTTTTAGTAAATATCCATCTATGGGAACTGTCAGAAGTACAATGACAGTGATGAGCATTTGAATGTAAACTCTTTAAATTCCGAAATGCTTTTGGTTTGTATAGATAACGGATGATGACTTTGTACCATAAAAAAATGTGGTTCACACTTTTTGTATAATAGTGAGGACACCCCCTGACCGATTGACAGAATTAGGGTGTTCTCTCTGCAGGTGACAGACCGCCGAGGCAGGGCTGGGGACAGTACGGCCATACGGCCTAGGGCCAACGGGACGATCGTATGTGCTTCTGGAAAAATCTTAACCTCCTCCTGATCCTCGTAATCAGTACAGGAGTAATCAACACTGTCAGCTAGGTGCTGTTCTGGGATCAGCCTTGGGACTGCTGTCGTCACGGTTACGAATGAAGGCATATGGAGCTGCAGACGACTGCCAGTACATGTCGTCCCAGAACTGCGCCCATGCCTTCGCGGTGACCAATCAGGTGTCTGTTTGATGTCGGGGCTGGACCGTGTGGGGAGAAGCACTGCGGGGGTAACCTCACTGAAACATGCAGATGGATTAATCCATGAAGCAGGTTGTCCAGGAGAGGAATCCTAACAAAGCTCCGATAAGGCAGCCCCTCCCTGCAAACACCGCTGCAGTAATTATCCCCTGAGGCTTTGCTTTCCCTGACCGCCATAGTGGAGCCAGCCGCTCGGGGGGGTTTCTCATAGGGAATGGAATCCGTTTGGGAGCAACGATTTTTGCTTTGCACTGCGACTCCGCGTCAGTGCCCTGTGCGGTTTCGGTCCTGCTCCGTGTTCCCTGGTCAGCCAGAGTAAGCTGGAAGTCAGGCTTTTGGGGCCTGGAGCCTCATGTGGACCACAGGCAGGGTGGCATAGGGGAGAGGCAGAGGCTCAGAGGGACAGGGACAGGGGCCTCCTGTGTGACACTGAATGCCACTGCATTCCTCAGGAGTAAGTTTGGCCAGTGGGACGCAGCACTGCATCAGCCTCTTAGACTGGATGGCATTATAGAGACAGTAGGCCTTATTTGAGTTAAATAAGACGGCCTACCATAGTGTGTTGTCGTCGTTAAAGGTCAGCAGGCTGTCGGTCACCGTCAGTCTCCGTGTCGTTTTCAGGCCAAACAGCAGGACATCCAGCCCCCATCCAGGACCCACCATGGACGACGACTTCGATCGGCGCAGGGAGCTCCGGAGACAGAAACGCGAGGAGATGCGTGTGGAGGCAGAGAGGTGAGCCTCCGGCCCCCCAGGCCTGTCGCAGTGCTGTCAGACCAGCTAAATGGTAACGCGCACCTCGTGTACAGACGGCCATGCAGGACTCAGACGTCACATTATGGGAGGCTCCGTGTGTGTGTGGGGGGGGGGGGGGGTGTGACACCCCTCTGAGAGGAGTGGCCAGTCTCACCTTCTTCACAGCCCCCAAAAGTCTTCTGATCCGTGTGCCAAACTTGCCTAGGGCTAGCTGACACCCTGCTCATAACTCTCATGCACTACATGCTACTCCGCTACGTTCTGTCACTCCTTAAAGAGCAGAATTGGGGCTTTAAGGTGACATCACACATGTGAGGCTGTAACCTTGGCAACTTCCTCTTCCTTGTCAAAATCAAAATTTTAATCAGTTTTTTCCCCCACAGATCTCAGAAGGATGTTTTATCGTTTTGTCGATCTTGCAGTTTTTGGATGCTGGTCCTCGTAGTTTGTGTCCATTTTTTTTTTTGTTTAAAAAAAAAAAAAAAAAAAAAACTTTACAAGTTGGCTCATAACTGCAGGGGCATTAAAAATGATAATTTTCATTTAGCTTGCATGTCACTATACTCACCCCTCCCCTGTGCCGGTTTTTATACAAAGAAATAGTTGGAAGGAGTTCACTTTTTTTGTTTTTTAGAATTGTTTCAAAATGACGTATGGGAATTCAGGGCCAAAATATCCATTGTTGTGGTCTGCGATGTTAATTTAGTTGTCACACTCATAAAATTTTTCCATTACTGCCACTTTGAAAGTGTGTCGAATTGTGGCAAAAATGCCAAATCCGGAATCCAGTCTGCATTGAGGGTCCTCCGTCATTTATGGACACACGAGTATCTGCGGCTTTTATCAGTTGTCTTCTTCTGACAGAAGTAGATGAATTTCCGCGAGCGTGTGTCGTTACTCTCGACCCCCCACCCCAACATGCCTCACAAGGTGCAGTTACTCGGTTCCCCAAAAAGCAGTGTAACAGCGGCAGAGGCACGTTTTTCAAATTAAGCGCAGGAGAAAGGCAGCACAATCTTAATGGGAATAATGCGACGGCTTCCCCACTACTGCACCGCGCGCGCAACACATGCGACCGCTTTCCGCAGTAACCGAAAACACGTGAGGGAATCCGCAGCCGGCTGTGTCCGGCCCCCGCGGCTCTGTAATCAAGTCTGCTGCAAACACGTTTCACACACACATCTCTCTGCCCTTTCTGAGGAACTCCAGGCGCTCACTTTCCGGGTGGCTCCGTGGAGTGCTGCTCTTCTCCATTAGAGGCGTCGGCGTAACGCAGTGGACCCTTCAAGTTCGGCACGGTCACCCCACCTGACGCTTAGCAGCCTGGGCCTAAGCACGGACGTGTCTGAAGCCAGTTAAGGCTTCGCCTGGGGGGGGGGGGGCACCAACTTCCCCCCGCATCCACTTAATCTGCACATTAGGTGTTTGGGGAAAAACCTTTTTATTTCTCAGCTCCTTGGCATTTTTACACAATCAGAACTTTCATATCACAAAAGATATTTAACTGAGGGTTCAGGGGCGTGCAAATTTCTGAAAGCATTGGTTCATTGGGCTGGTACTGCTGCTGACGGTTAAGCAAAAAACAGTAACACAAACGTAGGAGTTCAGCAGAAAAGTAAATTCTAATGAATAAATGAATGAAAGCGTTAATACTGTTATGAATTCCAGGTTCTTTACACTCCCTAGACAGACGGCAGAGTCACACATGCAATGAGTTGGTTATGTAGTTATAACGAAACAGCTGAGAAATTTCTACAGAAACATGCTTATACCAATCTATGTTTGTTTGTTTGTTTATGTGTTTGTTAGGATAATGTGTAAACATAGCCAATCTAAAATAACCCCAGTAATGGTTTTTTCCACCCGGTTAGCATTTCACCTACTGCCTGCAGTACCTGAGTATGTACTTAAGAAAAAACAAAAAACAGTAGAACATATATGGCTGGAAGGTATATACTTTAAAATCAAAGATCTCTGTTTGCCTGTAGGTCTGCAGAAACTGACACCAATTATTAATCTATATTGAAATGCAGGCTGATATCATCTGGGTTCAACCTGATTGGTACTAAGGAAGTAATTTGAAAATGATACGGTTCATCTTTCTGAGCTACTGTTCCTTTAAGAAACGGAACCGCTGCATACAGTCCAGATTGTGGTTTGGTTTCCCCTGAAAAGCTGAGCAGCCCAGGAGCCCAGTAAGGTTAACTGGTCATAAGCAACCTGCAAAATGTTTGTGTGATTGACAGTCAGATGTATTAGGCTATAAGTTAATCGCGATTTGCCAAGTTAGTCTCTTAGCGATCGGCAGTAAAGCAGACCTGCCGATCATGACACAGACATAGATATACTGAGGAAACTCAGCAGAGGATTTTTGGCCAAAATGCACATTTAATATCGCTGCGTTCTTGGCTGTGTGCACCGATGACATTTAGCCCTTAGGTACAGAAAGACGAGGCATTTTTTGATACCCGATAGTATCCAAGTAATTCGGTTGATGCCAAAAAAGTATTGAAGTCTGGTACTTAGCCGTAGCCTTGAGCTTCCTGGGATAGATTCCAGGACCTAGGACCCTGTGATGGATGGATGGATGGATGGATGGATGGAGCCAATAATAATGTTTCAGTACAACAGAAGCTAAGCACCTCATACACAGTGCAGAAAGCAGATATACTGTAAGCCACATTAAACTACTGTGTGTGTGTGTGTGTGTGTCTGTGTTCTGCAACCAGTCATGTCCTTCTGTTGCCATGTCCCCAATATTTTGTTTGCAAACAGTACGTTTGCTGCAGAGAAGTCTCTCACAATCCTGCCCGCCTTTCCTGCTGTCGGAGCCTCTGTCCCACATGCTTGTCCCAGGAAAACTCTGAACTCACTGGAATGTTTTGACTGCTTTTTTTTTAACCCTGAAAAAATATCCTGTTAGAATGTTCCACGGTCTAGCGAGAAGTGGGGGCGGGTTTAAGGCTTCAAGGCATGTGGGGCCCCGTTTGGCCCCCGGTCCTGTGCTGCTGCAGGACAGTATGGGGCCCCGTTTGGCCCCCGGTCCTGTGCTGCTGCAGGACAGTATGGGGCCCCATTTGGCCCCTGGTCCTGTGCTGCTGCAGGACAGTATGGGGCCCCGTTTGGCCCCCGGTCCTGTGCTGCTGCAGGACAGTATAGGCATTTATCAGAGGGGACCAGTGATTATGGGAGCAGCTGGCCTGCAGGGGGCGACAATGCTGTATGACCTTTTGACCTAGAGTTTGCGGAGTGTTTCTGGGCCTCTGGGTGAGAGCGCCTCCTGCGGGGGGGTGGCACTTCACTGAAGCCAGGCATTCTCCGGGCCTGGTGTGGGAACAGACTGAGGAACAGCGGGGGGGGGGG